GTGGGTTTTTGGTGGGGTTTTTGTGGGTTTTTGGTGGGTTTTTTGGTGGGGTTTTTGGTGGGTTTTTGGTGGGTTTTTGGTGGGTTTTTGGTGGGGTTTTTTGATGGGGTTTTTGGTGGGTTTTTTGGGTGTTTTTGTGGGTTTTTTGGGTGGGTTTTTGGTGGGTTTTCTGGTTGGGTTTTTGGTGGGTTTTTGGGTGGGTTTTTGGTGGGGTTTTTGTGGGTTTTTTGTGGGTTTTTTGGTGGGGTTTTTTGGTGGGGGTTTTTGTGCGTTTTTTGTGTTTTTGGTGGGTTTTTTGGTGGGTTTTTTGGTGTGTTTTTGGTGGGGTTTTTTGGGTGTTTTTGTGGGTTTTTTGGGTGGGTTTTTGGGTGGGTTTTTGGTGGGTTTTTGGTGGGGTTTTTGGTGGGTTTTTGGTGGGGTTTTTTGGCGGGGTTTTTGGTTGGGTTTTTGGTGTGTTTTTTGTGGGTTTTTTGTGGGTTTTTGGTGGTTTTTTGGGTGTTTTTTTGGGTTTTTAGGGTGGGTTTTTGGTGGGTTTTTTGGGTGGGTTTTTGGTGGGTTTTTGGGTGGGTTTTTGGTGGGGTTTTTGTGGGTTTTTTGGTGGGGTTTTTTGGTGGGGTTTTTTGTGCGTTTTTTTGGTGGGTTTTTTCTCCATGTTTTGGTATGTTTTCTGGATGGACTCATACTCTGCATTTCTGGGTATCGGGGTCATCAACCACGCCCATCACCTATCTTTCACTAGGGGATAAAATCCTCACTTACTGAAGAGTACGAAAATAACATGATTGAAATCTGACGTACCAATAGCAGGGCCGTCTTAACAACGGTGGAGGCCCTGGGCAAATGCCCAGTGGTGCCCATGCCTAAAGACGGGTCAGAACATTAGGAGGGGGTGGGTCTCTTTTGAATTTGCGCTTCCAAATTGCATCCATAATATAAATAAAATGTTTACGTGAGATATGGTGTTTCATCATACATTGAGTAATTACACTTTATGCTTGTACCCATACGTCTTTAAATAGGTTACTCGTAAAACCGAGTTACTGTGTCGCGAATTGATGCTCAAGTATGTCTAAAAAGTCGGTCTCAAGTTTTGAAAAGCACTAGACTAGGGGTCTCCATAGGTCTCAATCCGGCACATCATCTGATGGCAATCTGATTTGGAGGCAACGTGTTCTGATGGTACCCTGCTTATTTATTTAACTACGATCTCGAGCAAACTCTGGCAAATTGTCCATTTTGTGCCACCCCCATCAGTGCCGTCTTAAGCATCGGTACACAAGGCTGTTGCTCGGAACCTCGCGCTGAATAGTGTGTGTGTTGGGGGGGGGGGGGGGGGGTGGCCCTCCCCCTTCAAATGGAAATAATTTTGTTAACCAATACTTAAAGTTCTTTCCGGCCATTTTTTTTTTTTTTGGGGGGGGGGGGGAGCACAACCATTTCCAGGAAAACTAAATTTCCACTAGCATTTCTTCTGTTGCTCGCCGATTCAGAGTAGCAATTTGCCAAACTATATTCAGATATGCACGAAAACGCACCCATTTATTTTGAATTTAGCAGAGATTTTCTGTGGAGGGGCTCACTGAAGTCTATACCCAAATCACCTTTCGTTCGATTAAAGTGACAGTGCCGACACCGAAACATAGCCTCAGGGGGCGCCACAACCGGAATGATTTAATGTTTGTGGGTGACGGTTAGCTACGGAGTCAGAGAGTGACCTGGGTAACATATACTCTTCCCCCTTATCGAACGCATGAACCCACCCCCCACCCCCGACCGCCTTTCAGATGAAATTGTCAGGAACAAACTATGGTTATAACTTATAACGCATGGGCCCCCAAATACTTTTCACAACATTTATTTGAATAGGTTCGAAAGGTATAGAGTATTTAAGTGCCTCACTTAGCCATCCCCGATAATCTTAAGACGGCCTTGTCCCCACCCCCTATCCTATGAGGATTTCCCTCATTGCGTTCGGACCCACTTGGGACTCTTCTGTGTGTAGACGACCGCAGCATTTCCCAAACTTTTAAGTTTGACGGACAGGTGTACACGTTTCCCAATGCACCGGGGACAAGTTCCAGATTTATTAATTACTGTTCTTTTTTATCGGACTTGAAATATGCCATAAATATATTTTAATCCGTAATTAGCGATTCGATAGGAGTCGATTAATTATTAGTATTGATATTACCATAAGATATTGGATACTAACACTGGGGTGAGGACCAACGGAAAGGGCGTGGGAATTAAATTATTAATACCGCATTTCCTTGCCCGTCTTACAATTATTTCAGCAGAAAGAATACGTGGAACAAAAAGCTAACCGGGGCGCAAAATCGCAAAGCAGAAAAAATGCGTCGTAATCTGAAAAAGAGCGGAGCCATACAGGGACAGGGAAGGGGGCGTCGAACGGGTGCTTCACACAGGGCGAAAGTTTAACTGAGGCTTAACTTTGGCGCCCCTTATAATTATAATGATTAAATGATTAAACAGTTCATTGTTTGTTTAAAAAAAAACATAGGTAATAAACTCATTACCGAATAACTAGTTTTGTTTCCTTCAATAAAAGCATTAGGCTTTAAAAAAATATGTTTATTAGCATAATTTTAAATGTACAGGTTTCATTAATTACTGCGTTTGTGTTTTCTTCACAAGTGCTACTTGGATTTTAATATCAGAATAATAAATAAACTGCCCCACCTATTTGCAAATTTGTTTTATTTATTTTTATTTTGAAAGTTCATTTATTTTCAATGTAAGTTAACCCCAAACCCCCCCCCCCCCCCAGGTTCAAATAAAAAAAAACGAAAGCCAAATAAATATTATTTAGTAAGAAATACACAAATATTGGCATAACTCTAGGAGGTCACGCAGAAGTCTTTTCGAGGTCCCTTTTGCCACTTGTTGGTTTCGTCCTCCCCCGCCTTGCATTACAAGTTGATCAGTAAGAAAATATCCAAATCAAATCTTTAAGTCTATAAAAATATCCAAGGCCTAAAGTTAAATGAAACCTAATTTTTGAAACTAGCACCGCTTCCGTTGCTCTCCAATTAAGTGTTTAATGTTTCAAGACTAAATTAAAGTATTTTCTAAAATGCATTCTTGTATTTTGAATCTATAAAAAATTTAAATGTTCTTGGGACTATAAAAATTTAAGAGGCGATTATAAGCTATAGAAAATGCACACCCTCAAGGGCGCCACAGCTGGGATGAATTTAGTTCACGTCTCGCGTGTGCAGCGTTCAAGAGATCTTTGATCGCTATGATGGCTAACTTTGGTACTTCCCACACAAAAGTTTGAAATGCCTCCTCAAAATTGTTTGAAAGAAACACCGAATTCAAGTATGCGCCAAAATTCACCCCTGCATTTTGAATTTGCGCGACCGTCTTCAGCACCCTCAATTTATGCACCCAATTCCCTCACTCTGATCCATGTTGCAGTATGAATTTGAATATAAGCTCGTGCCAAATGATGACTCTGGAGCACGTTACAACAGGGGGAATTTAGTAAATTTATGGCAATGGAACCATAATGCCTCCACTAACCCTTAAAAATTTCCTTCCCCTGATCGAAAAGTCTACTAGAAAAATGGAATATATTCCAAAATGCACCTCATGATTTTGAAATAATAAAAGCATTCGGGGGAGAAGACCTTCTCCCCAGACCCCTCTACTGCTCAAGATTCATCTTACCTACTGATGTTTGCCTTTAAACCCTGTCTGGGGCATAGTCCGTTTACAAGAATTTTCTATTCATCTCAGACATGTGCTTTCCTGTCCAGTTACTTTCAGTTGTATCCTCCCATATTTTATGTGTCTGCTTCTAGCTCACGTCTCCGTGTATTTTTAGGGCATCCTCTCTTTTTCCTCCTGTGGATTTTATGTAAGAAATTTTCTGGTGATGTTATCTGGGGGTTTGCGGAGAGTGTGCGATATCAACCTCCATCTTTTCACAACAATTATGTCTTCATCAACAGGTTTCTGGTACATCCTTTTCAGTAAGTCTTTGTTGGTGATGTTATTTGTTCGGGATCTTTCTAGTGTTTATGAAGGTCTGGATTTTCTGCGTAAAGCACGTTGTTGTTCTCAAAGTTTTGGCTCCATTCTATAGGACTGTTTTGACATGCGTGTTGAAGGTTCTGACTTTGGTTTGCAGAATAAGCTCGCTTGACTCCCATGTTTTTTTAATAGCACCAAAGCTGACCTAGCAGTTCCAATTCTAGCCCTGACATCCACTTCGGATCCACCCTTTATTTCAATGGTGCTGCCTAAGTATGTGAAGACCTCCACTTTTTCCAGTGCATTTCTTGCAAGAGAGACATGCTCTTGGTTGGCTGAGTTTACCTTCATGATCTCTGTCTTGCTTTCTTTATATAAATTAGTAAAATTTTTCGGGCCCTCAATTTCAGTCCTACATCTCGATGAAAATGATCGCTAATTTTGGTGACGATAGAAACAATCCCCCCCCCCCCCCCCCTTTTTTTTTTTTCTCCCA